ATATATATATATATATATATATGTATATATATATATATATACATACATATAAAATATACATAGAATGATCTTGACATATTTGATTAACTTAACATATTTTCGTATATGTAGAAATTAATTTAATTATTCATTAATTTTCTAATGCCAACTTTTGAGAGTTTTTTAGGATCAAATTGAATTGTATAAATTGCAAAAATAAAAACTTGTACTTACCGTTTTACAATACTTTCTATTTTGTAGCACTACACGCTTTACTATTTCATTTCCCGAGCATTTATCGGGTAATGTTGAGTTGACGTATATTGCGGACTTTCTCTGACTAGATTTGCATCTTATTTTGCCCATCAAGGTCGGATGCAATCGCTATAGAAATGATAAAATATAAAAATAATCAAGATTTTTTTATTAAAATTATAATCCATAATAGTGAAAGAAAGGCCAAAGAAAAATGTTGAGTATAGTTACTGTAATTTGCAATTAATTATATGACTGCAAATGTCAATGAATATCAAATAGATAAATAACACTAAACTTTCATCATTAAGCCCTTCTTTCATCATTAAAAATTCTTTCTTATTCTGTCAATCTGTACTAATAATGATAATAACATTTACTAATTTACCTTTATGTGACTAAGAAAATTCCCAGTGGACTTCAGATTACCGTTCAACAGTTTCTTACACTGCTGACAACGCACTGTAACATTAGTATCCTCCACTTTAGTTACTGTAAAGTATTCTCCATCCAACAAAGCAGGCAATCTAATCGACATTGCTTTCTGTTCGACATTTGACTCAATCTGCGTCATTTGATGTGTCGGTTGCTGCTGCTGTTGTTGCTGTAATGTCAATGAATCATGGTTTTCCTGACCCTGTACTTGTATCTGTTGCGAAGGTGCTTGGTTGTTCACAGATTGGACAATCTCGCACTGATGATTCGCAGCAGTGACTACAGATTCGCTATACTCGAATGATGCTTCCATTTTGTTCTCGTAATCTTGTGTAGGGAAAGTGTCCATAACAAAGAAATTGCAGTCAAGCTTAATTCTGGGAAACAATATACAGGCGAATGTCTCTTGTGCCACAGGACAATTTTACATGACCGAAATAACTAGAAAAGAACAAGAATTTGTCACAGACTTGACAGCAAGTCGACATTATTATTTATTCTTTAAATCTTATTGAATTTTAGATAAGCTGTCAGATAAGAACGTCCCACAAGGCAAATCTAGATCAGATAATAGATGAGAACGTATCAGAGATTAAGGAATCACGTACCAACTTTGTCAACCAAGGACCCGTCATACCAGGTTATGTCCACATGTCCTTAGAGACAGGTTGTCCGAGCAGGAAGCCATGGACGTTTCGTGCTCCATTCTTTTGTATATATCTAAACAAACAATAATTGCTTTCGATAAATTTTTTTAATCCTTATAATCGTTTGTGCGTGATGGTAACACTGTTGTAAACAAAGCATTTCTATAGGTCTCAGATTATTTTCGTTATACGAGTCTATTCAATAAACATATAATTATAAATAATGACATATTTACCATTTTTACAATACTTCAGGAATAAAATTTTTAAATGTTTAGTGTCCCAATCGACATGCATAACCCAAAAGATAAGTTCACGATGATTGATGATTCACGTTCTAAAATGCGAAAATTGCGATCCCTCGTTAAATTAAATTAATTAAATTAATTAGGGAAAGCTCTCGTTCTGTTTACGTATAGATTAATAATGTGCGACGCAACGAGAAACTTAATAATCGATGTGCCATTCGTAACTTAAATTCACTATCACATAAACGATACGCTCCATTGATCATACTCAAGTCAAATTTCAAAGCTTAGGTTAATATTTCATTTGGCATACGGTAAATTTTTTGATTGGTTACAAGATAGAAAATTTCTAGAGACTTGAAAACTTTACTGTTGTATAGCCAATCAACACGTTTAAAAAAATGTATCGTAAGGACAAGTGAAATTAGTTTAGACGAAATGTATATTCACAATGAGAATTGATTGATAAAAATCGTATTGATCAATTAGCCGAAATAATGAAATTGGTTAATTTAGATACATACATATATATTGCGTGTGTATGTGTGTGTAATTATTTAAAAATGCTCGCGCGCTTGTGTTTGTAATGTATTACATAAAAAAAAGGTTTAAAGCCAGCGACATACGATGCTTTTTTTCTTGTTGATTTGCTAGATGGATTTGCGTGTATGAGTTCTTGTCTCTGATTGGTATATTCTTTTGGATCTAAAAAAATATACCAATCGAAGACAAGAGTTCAATAAGCATGCGAATCCAAAGCTAGCAAACTAGCAAGAAAAAAAGCATCGTGTGCCGCTAGCTTAAAATACGAAAAATATTGTATTTTGAAAAATATTGTATATTGCATTCTCGATAATACAGACAAAAAGATCGATTATGTATCTTAGAAAAAATAAAAATTATAAAATGAAAAATGATAAAAGTAAAGAAATTTACTAATTTTCGACATATAAAATTGCAAATGCCTGATAAACTTCACTTTGGTAATTTTCATCTCGTTTTAAAATACACAATTGACTCTCAACATCCCCTCAAACTTTTTCATATTCTTTCATGTACGATTCTTGACTGCGCATGCTCGTAAAATCCATTGGCATCACTGGCCATTAGCAACGCTCTTCGTGGCGTATGTTCGAGCGCGTCGCCGTCGGTATGAGATTGGCTTGCGTTCCCAAGTGTGCTGTGCACAGTGATGCGTTAGAAGCGGTACTCGTGTTTTCGATAATTTGAGTAATTTCTCGCTCTGTGATCCGTGTTCCTTCATTCGAAAGTAATTCAGAATTCGTATCGCTGTGCCGTCAACATGTCGGCACTTCACGTGGAAAATAAAACGGAGACTGAGGAAAAGAAACAGAGTGCAAGGTATTTCTCACTTCAATATCAGTGATACTAAAATTTTTTTTATTCCAATTAAAAAGCTGTGCTAGATTTCCACAATATTACGTTTAATCGATTGGCTAATTATCGTTTTTTCGTAAAGACAAGATGCATTGAGCGTAATTGATTTTACAAAATTATTAAAAATTTATAATTTTTGTTCCACGATTTTATGAAAATATTAATTAATTATTTTTATCTATTCGATATATCAATTTTTGTTTCAAACACAGATACTGTAAGAAAATTAATTGATTTTCAGCGAAATAGCAAAGACAGAGATAAGTAAATGTACAAATGTGGAAAGTTCTCGAAAAAGGAAGCATGATGCTGAAGAAGATGTCACAGTTGCTGTGAGTTCATTAACTATATGTCATTGTCTCGAACGCAAAGAAGATTCCTAATATATTTTCTATTGCAGAGCACAAGTGTTCCCTCAGACCTGACGATGTCCGGAAGTACTAAAAAATATAAGGATGCGACTGATATAAACAGAGTCATTGATAACACAACTTTGGTAGCAGACCATTATAATTCTCTTGAAGAAAAGGACCTCTCGCAAAGAAATCAGAGTCGCATCGTATATATGAGAAATTTCAACAACTGGATTAAGAGCATGCTTATAAGTAATTATTGATTTTTTGCTATTAGTCAAGCAATGTCATCACAATAGTGAGAAGAGGATCAATGGAAACCTGCATAATTTTAATTCTTTATTGCCAATCGGTACTAAATCACAGTACAACCATTTAAATTTTTGTTCTTTCCTCATATGCATCCTCTAAAGATATTTGGTATTAGATATAGTTATTTTTAGGATTTATTTATATTTATAATGTTGGGTGCATATCACAATAGGACTAAAATGTTTTGATATTTTTTATTTACAAGATAATAGGATTGGGATTTGAATTTTGATCTTTGATTTGACAGACAATTGCTTTATCATTGAGCTATTCAATTGCCTCCAAATTCATCATGATTATTACAAACATTAAAGTTATAAAAAAATTTGAGATAATCTTTAAATTATTATAAATTAGATTCTGAAAATATTTTTGTTTTATTATTTTATATTAATTCTTTTTCACTGTATATTAAATAATATCATTTTTGCAAACAAAACTAAATTTATTTTAATATTGTTTACAGACGAATACATAGGCAAAATAAGGCAAGGTAAGAGTTTTGGCGCTTCGCTTAGAGTACTGGACATGTGTTGTGGTAAGGGCGGCGATCTTCTCAAATGGAAGAAAGCTAATATTTCACACTTGATTTGCGCGGATATAGCGCAAGTTTCATTGGAACAGTGTCAGCAACGATACAATGATATATTGAATAAAAACAAGGATAGAGGTTCCAAGGACAGAGGTTTCGCTCCGATTTTTACCGCGGAGTTCATAACAGCCGATTGTACGAAGGTAGAAGATATCCCATCTGTCTTTATGTTTAAATGTATAAAGAAATTCACTTGCCAATGGAATTTCGTTAATCAGGAATGTTGCAGGTTCGTTTGAGGGAGAAGTTTGCAGATCCCAGCATGCAATTGGACTTTGTTAGTTGCCAGTTCGCGTTTCATTATAGCTTTGAGTCTCTATCGCAAGCCGAATGCATGCTTCAGAATGCCAGCGAAAGTCTCAAACCGGGTGGATATTTTGTCGGAACCATTCCAGATGCATATGATTTAGTGTACGTCCGTTTTCTTTTCTTTTTTGTTGCGGATCCTAGCTAATAGCACTCCGAATGCTCATCTTCTTTTTGCTGACATAGTTCTAGATGGCAGAAATGTGATGGTAATAAATTCGGCAATGATGTGTACAGCGTTGAATTTATAAGTGAGGACAAAACAAAGCCTGCGCTTTTCGGCGAAAAATACAATTTTCATCTGGATGGTGTGGTCGATTGCCCGGAATTTTTGGTGTATCTGCCCACTTTGTGCAAATTGGCTTTAAAGCACGGCCTCGAGTTAGTGGCGTTTGAAAGGTAAGAGAAAAAATACATTATTACACACATATGTATACGTATCCATTTTCCATTAATTAGATGCATTATTAATAAACAACTCATAAAAAATTGTTAAATGTATATTAGTTTAAATTTAAGTAAATATTAACATTTTAAATAGATTATTTTAATTTTATTTCTTCAGTTTAATTTTAATCCTATTTCTCATATTATATTGAAAATACTTTTTCTAAATCAGATTCGAAGAGTTCTACAAGCGTTTCAAAGACGAAGGTAGATCTCTTTTGGGAAATATGCAGGCCTTGGAAACTTATCCACCATATCATGAATCACCTCTGCTCGGCGATTCTGAGCGAGACTATCATCACGCTATCGAATATATGCAGAATCTACCTGCGAATCATCGCAAAATCGGCACCCTTTCGCAATCAGAGTGGGAAGTTACTTGTGAGTATAAAAATTTTAACACAAAATTAAAAAGAAAACATTTCTGAATGAATCCAATTTGAAAATTTAATGGGAATATCTTTTTTAGCTTTGTACGCGGTATTTTCGTTTCGAAAAATGAAGACGATTTGGAATAGCGAAGGAAAACCAGAATATGTTAAGTTCTAAGATATTTCTTAAAATACAGAAAAAGTTAGGAAAATTATAGGAAGAGGGAGAGGGAGAAGGAATGATTTTTATTAATATTATTGATTTTATATTGTACAAACGATCTTATTTGCTACTATAAATGTAACTAGCTTATGATTATCCGTGTGATACTTGTAGAGCCATAGCTATGTTTTATAGAGACTGACAATCATGTAAAAATATATCATTGAAAGCACTTAAAGGCTTAATTATTAGAGTACAGAATAATTGTTTTCTAATAATTATGTCTTTATTAAAATTTAATTGTTTCGAATCGCAAAAAATTTTGTAGTAGTGTACGAATTTAGATCTCAGGAAGTATGATTCTGGATATTATAATATTAATTTCCTAAGCGAGTACGTTTTTTAAGTAATTCGGAGACCCGTTATGGAATTATTTAAGATAGATTCCAATCGAAATTATATATATCCGTTTTTCCTTAAAAAATAATACAAATTTAAGAGATGACTGAATAATTTCGATCGGAATCCATCTCGAACAGATCTGTAATAAATCCTCTTCTCGCATATCAGGGAAAATGTAATATATATCTAATCTAACTAATTGAGAATCATGTCAGAATTATTATCATGAAAAATGTATAATTAAGGACTAGAATATTATAATAAAATTATGATATTGTAATTATACATATATATATTTAATATAGAAATTTAGTAAAATTATGTATAATTATGTATTAGTATAAATTATTATATTAAGAATATAACAAGAATATTATTTAAAGCAAGTTTTTATTTTAATTCACATTTAAGAAAAAATACTTTGCAAAAATCATTCTTTATGCTGTAAAAGGAGATCGATAATTTTCTCCAATATTTTGAAAATTATCGAATATATTAGGTGTTACAAAAAAGTTCTGAGCTTTAGATTTCATACAACCGAAATAACAATTTAAATTTTATATCTTCCCGCCCTTTTGTGGTTTTAAAACGTTGACATTTGGCCTTCTAAAATGTCATACGGTTTGGCGTTTGATGCACATAACCTCAAAAATCAGTAGTGTTCACGATGGCAATAAACAAAAGAGCATATTCGATTTTCCATCTACTTCGCATTTCATCTGAAGAAAAATGCTGCTGAAGCCACTGCAATGATTTATGCTGCATATGGAGAGAACGTTGTAAGTCATACTACATGTAAAAGATGGTATCAAAAATTTCGCTAAGGAGATTTTAGTCTTAAAGATAAACCGTGTGCTGGACGCCCTCAAAAGATTGAAACGGACGAATTGCAAGCACTGCTGGATATAAACTCTGCGCAAACTAAAAAGGAATTTGCAGAATAGCTTGGCGTTACGCAGCAAACCATTTCCGTACGTTTACATACGATGGGAAAGGTTCAGAAAGAAGGCAGATGGGTTCCGCATGAATTGTCCGAAGACAACAAAAATCGTCGGCGTGACACTGCACTCACTTTGCTTTCAAAAGAAAAAAGATTTTCTGCACAAAATCATTACAGGCGATGAAAAGTGGATTCTTTATGATAACCCTAAACGTAGAAAATCATGGGTTGATCCTGGTCAACCTTCGACATCGACGCCAAAGCCCAATATCCACATCAAGAAGGTTTTGCTCTGTATCTGGTGGGATTGGAAAGGTGTGTTGTATTACGAGTTGTTACAACTGGGTGAAACAATCACGGCAGACCGCTACCAACAACAATTGACCAATTTGAGCGATGCATTAGAAGAAAAGAGGCCATTTACTGGCCAAGGACATCGTAAAGTGATCTTGCTTCATGACAATAGACCACACGTTGTGAAAGCGACTCAGGATCATATCTTTGCGTTAGAACTTTGTTGGGAACTTCTCCCGCACGTGGCGTATAGCCCAGACATGGCGCCTTTCGATTACTACCTATTCCGGTCGCTGCAGCATCATTTGGCTGATACACATTTCGTGAGAAGAAGAGATATGAAAATGCATTGATGACTTTATCGCTTCGAAGCCGGTGAGCTTCTATCGTCAAGGAATTCGCAAGCTACCCAAAAGATGGCAAAAGGTCGTTGATGCAAACGGGGAATATTTCGCTAATTAATATTTTTTTGTTTGTTTTTGAATAAAGATTGACTTTTACAAAAAAAAACTCAGAACTTTTTTGTACACCTAATAACTTATAATGTATAATCGAATGCGACTTTCGGGATCGATCCAACGTGAAATTGGAGCAAACGCACGAAATAGTTTATTCACCGCGTGACAAAGGCTCTCTTGTATAAACTTATTCTCAAAATCAGCAAAATCAAAAATACGGAGTAACTTCAAAATTACCGTGTTTCTTGCATTCGGAAAGCTCGCGCAGCAATCAAGAACAATACTTCCATATATTCCTCAACGATATTGTAATCTACTTTGGAAAAAGTCCTGTCACTTAACCCCGAAGCGAATAAAATTCTTGTCTTTGGAAGAAATATTCTCGATCTTTAAAAATTTTCTGCCACAGAAAAAAATTGATCGAGGAATTAATGGATTAGCGATTAAAATCAGTAAAATTCAGTTGGATTTCGTTTTCTCTTCTTTGGGATAACATTTCATGAAGAGCGCGGGTTTTTCTCACAACGAAATTAAAATAGTCCTCGTACATCGGAGATTGAACTCGCCTGCGGGATCATACCGGTTCCAATCGGCCTCGCGGTGAATGACTCTTTCGGATCAGATCGGATCGGATCGGCCGCGCGATCGGGATCGCGTCTGGTCTACTCGCGCGGAGATCGAAGAGGCGGGGCGAGCGAGCGCATGCGCGCTCACGCGTTTCTGGCACTTAGACTGGTTGCGCGGCGTCGCGGCGCGCACGGACAGTCACTCGTCAGACGTCTAACAGGGTGGGTGTGCTTCGCGGTGGAAGTAAGTTCATCTCTCTTTCTCTTTCTTTTATATTTCTCTCTCTCTTTCTCTCCATATCTCGCGGATATCGCAACGGGACGGCGTGCAAAGACACAAAACGGAGGCGCGCACTCGTCGGAACTCCGCTGTGCGCGCGTGTGTGCGTGTGTGTTCGTGCGTGCGCGTACGTGCAGTACGTACGTACGTGCATGCGTGCGTGCGTACGTGCGTGCGTGCGTGCATGCGTGCGTGCCCAGCCAGCCACAGCCAGCTAGTCAACCATCCACACGGTCTGTCTCTCACTCTGTCGGCAGCGCAGCTGAACCTCGCGCCGCAGTCATCGCTGACCGCGTTGTACAGGTTCCTTGCGTCGGGAAATGGAGCTCGAGCAGGCGGCGCCGCAGGTGAACCTGGACCCGGTAAGCGTCGCGTTTTGCATCCGTGCGTACCGCCGCGATCGCCTACTGCCGCGTTTTCGCGACTCTCGTATCGTGTGAGTGCTCTCGCCTCTTGGTCGACCGTGCCGACGCGAAATTTTTCTAAGTCCCAAAATGGCGTCTGCGGCTAAGTTCCGCCGTGGCGCGGGCGAACCTGAGAGCCAAGAGCTACTCCTCCGTGGCATGTAGTTTTCTCGGCGGACGCTCTTTCGCGCTCACGCTGCCTCCATGCGCTGAATGTGAAGCCTCGTCTATTTTTCAGGAAAGGAAGACCAAGGAGAGCGGCGGCGGCGTCTCCGGGAATCACAGTGGTAAGTTTTCTCACTCGTTCTCACGGACAAGCGTAAGTGAACAATGACCGATTGGAGGAAGATTCGAGAATGTACGATTGAATTAAAATCAGCCAGTGAGAATTTAGCCAAAAATCCTAATCGTTCTCCATAGAGTAGGGGGAAGGGAAGGGAGATCGAACACGTGTCTCCTTTCTGTCCAGGGAAGAAGCGCCGAAAGGCGAGATTCGCGAATTTCCCGATGCGAAAGTTGCTGTTTCTCACGTTGAACGAGAGAGTATCGCGTTTCTTTGAAATTTCAAGATTCGCAATTTTTTTCTCGAAAAATACTTTCCGGATTTTTTTGTCGAAAAATTAATTTCAATCGGCGATAAGATTGTCGTGGATGCTCTGCTGATGCATAACAATACATAAAATAAGTGAGTTACATGGAGACTTTAAAGGAGTGCGCGAATTTTCGTTTGTGATTTTTTTTATGCGGAGCTCCAGGTGCACGTTTCCCCTAAGAATCTCATTAAACCGGATTAAGCGGAAAGCGCTTCCGATCTATTTAAAGCTATTTCCGTTTTTGAATCAGGATCTCAATCAGGATCTACTTTCTATTTTATTTTTTTATTTTATTATATATTATTTTATTATATTATATTATTATTATTCATTATATATTATGCATATATTATGTTTTACATTTCTTATTGCATAAAATTTATGTACATTAAAAATTTTTTATGCAATGTTAGAAATTTCAACTCTTTGCTATTTAATTTTCTTAGATCATATCAATGGCATGACCAACGGTTTTGATAAAAAAAGGGAACACAAATCTGAGCACAGAGACAAAGATAAGGAGCGATCTCACAAATCGGATCATAAGGATAAAGATCGAAGCAGAGAAAAGGACAAAAATCACAAGAGTGAACACAGAGATAAGGACAAAGATAAGCACAGACATAGCTCCAGTTCCGTTAAGGATAAGGAGAAGCACGATGGAAGCAATAATAGGGATAAAGACAAGGACAAAAAGAGCTCCTCGTCTAGTAAGGACAAGGAACATAAAAGTAGTTCATCCAGTAAGGATAAAGAAAAGGACAAGAACAGAGACAAGGAACATCATCACAAATCGAGTTCCAAAGATAAGGACAGGTAAAACGAAAAACAAAAAGTACTTCATAAGAGATTAATTGAGGAATGATGATGATACATTTTTATTAGGCATCATAGCAGTTCTAAGGACAAAGACAGTTCGAGCAAAGATAAGGACAAGGACGCCAAGAGTAAGGATAAAGATAGACATAGACACAGTAGTTCCTTGAACTCTAGCTCGCGTGACAAAGACAAGGATCGAAGTATTTCGAAGGACAAGGATAAGGATGGCAAAAAACATTCGGAAAAGGACAAGGATAGACATTCCACTTCTCACTCTTTGGGCGATAAAGAAAAACATCGTTCGTCGGAAAAAGACAAGCATAGAGAAAGTTCTAGCAGCAAAGATAAACATCGTCATGAAAAAGATAGAGACCGCCACCGTCACGACAAGGATAAATGTAAGCAATATTTATATAAAATATATTTATGTAAATATTCATTTTGTACTTTTTCTTCACTTATTCTCTTTAATTTCAGCTAAGCATCGCGAGGAAAGAGAAAAGAAGGATAAGGAGGAGATTAAAATAAAGGAAGAACCAAACGTGAAAATGAATCACTCAATTAACGAAGGATTTCATTACAATACAGAAATCAAATCTGAGATAAAAGAGGTAAAATCTCATGTTGTGATTACGCATTAAGGAATAAATAAAAAATATTAAAATGGATTTTTTTCTCAGGAACCTATGACACAACCAGATTTAGACGATGATGATGACAGTGGCGGCGAGCGACCGTTGTATATCAAAGAGGATGACGATGATGAACCGATCAAGGAGGATGTTAGTATGGATTCGACCGACGGAAATGATACCAGATTATCAGATCTTCATAATACAACTTTAAAAACGGAAGAAGAATCAGAAGAGGATAAACCATTGGTAAATTTTGCTTTTAATTATAATAGTTGGATATGTAAAAAAGAAGAGCATTTTTTAGAGATTGTTTAATATTTTTAAAGATATTATTTAAAGATTATTTTTTGTTAATTAACATGATTTTTAATATCATAATTTGTTTGGATATATTGATACAGTTTTCAAGATCGAAGGTATTGCCAAACGTGAAGAGAAAGATTGACTCGGATGAAGATGAAGACGTTCCACTGTCAGCACGTAAGAAATCCAAAAAACCGGCTACTAGCCAGAAGACAAAGAAAAAGAAACGAAAATATGGAGATGACGATGATTCTGACGCCGAGGCTGAAGAGACACAGGTTGGCAAGTTACTTTGATTATTTTTTCATAAATTAATGTAAATATAAGTTATAAAATAGACTATCTCATGCTGCATTCCTTTTATAGAAACCAAAGAAGAAGAATACAAAGGTGAAAACGGAAGGTGGTAGCCCGAGGAAAAAGAAGCAAGAGGAGGAGCAAGAAGTTTGGAAATGGTGAGAATACTCAAAGTCTTCCAAACCAATGATTATATAATCACATCGTTTTCCTCAATTTTTATAAGCTGAGACTAATATTTAATTTGTACAATATCTTTGATTAATTGTAAGAGGGAGCGTTTGATCACGTTGCAATTGGATACAGCTACTTAAATACCTGGAGATTTTCCACTGGATCAATCAAATAATTTTATCTCAAATTGGTTAATCGGCAACGTGGACAATCGGGTCCGTTGTAAGATACAGAATTTTGGAAGACTTGAAAACTTCATTATTTATAACTAATCAACGCGTTGACAAATAAAATATTGGTCTTATTTTTTCTTTCTTACTGATTTAATATAAAGCCAGCGGCACATGATGCTTTTTTTTCTTGCTAATTTGCTAGCTGGATTCGCGTGCTTGTTGAACTCTTGTCTTCGATTGGTATATTTTTTTAGATCCAAAAGAATATACCAATCAGAGACAAGAGCTCAACAAGCACGCAAAGTTTGTGCATTCGATATACAAGCTGCGTTCCGATATTCATTATTAGTGACTGAAAAGCTATAATATACGTGACCTAAACTATATATTTTCAGTAGTGGCAGTGAATATCGGAACGCAGCCACAATATCCAGTAGTGAATTTTATTTCTAGAGACAACAAAGTTATTTTAAGATCCTTAGACAATATGTGCTTCTATTGGATATAATGCGTATGTGCGGTTGCTATTTAAAGCCAGCGGCACACGATGTCTTTTTTTCCTGTTGATTTGCGTGCTCGTTGAGTTCTTATCTCTGATTGGTATATTTCTTTTGGATACTAAAAAATATACCAATCGAAGACAAGAGTTCAACAAGCATGCGAATTCAGCTAGCACTAGCAGAAAAAAAGTATCGTGTGCCGCTGGCTTAATAGGAGCGTTTGTTTCCTAGGGACAAAAGTTTACATCCTCCAAAAAAATCAGTTATCATAACCTATATATTTTTCGGACATGTATCTTGGTTTTTCATTAATTCTCAAATAAAAGATGTGAATGACTGAAAGATATATAGATGCGGAACCTTGTAAAAAATTTAATGGTTCGTCTCTTAGCGAGACGTTTATTTGATCCTGGAAATAGCTGCAGTTATGTAGTTTATAAAATGAAGAATTTGTCGATTTTGAGGTTATGTCTGTAATATTCTTTAGAATTTATTGGAATTGAATCTTTTATCTTTTGCATTTTTATAATCGTAGAATTTTATTTTATGTCATCTTGAAACTTAATATAATTTCTTTATGTATCACTTAATGTGTTTCATTTTTAAAAAGTTTATTCGTTCTTAAATTTAGCATGACCTAATAATTCATATGTCTTTTAATGTAATTTAACATCAAAATTTTTTCAGGTGGGAGGAAGAGAAGAAGAGTGATGGCACGAAATGGTATTTCTTGGAGCACAAGGGACCAGTATTTGCGCCACCCTACGAACCTTTGCCTCCCACCGTCAAGTTTTATTATAATGGCAAGGAGATGAAGTTAAGCCAAGATACAGAGGAGGTAGCGACTTTCTATGCGCGTATGCTGGATCATGATTATACGACCAAGGCTACGTTCAATAATAACTTCTTTCATGATTGGCGAGAAGTGATGACTGAATCAGAACGTGCCAAGATTACTGATCTGACCAAGTGCAACTTCAAGGAGATGCATGCATACTTTGTCCAGAAGAGCGAAGAACGCAAGGCTATGACGAAGGAAGAAAAGCAGAAGATTAAGGAGAAGAATGAGGAGATACAGAAGGAATATGGCTTTTGTTCTATCGATGGGCATAAGGAAAAAATTGGTAACTTCAAAATTGAACCACCTGGCTTGTTCAGGGGTCGGGGTGAGCATCCCAAAATGGGTAAGCTGAAGAAGCGTGTGTTGCCAGAGGACGTGCTCATTAATTGCTCAAAAGACTCGAATATACCGAAACCACCGTCCGGTCACAAATGGAAGGAAGTGCGACACGATCCTAATGTCACATGGCTTGCATCTTGGACAGAAAACGTTCAAGGCCAAGTGAAGTACGTGATGTTAAACCCGTCTAGCAAGCTTAAAGGTGAGAAGGACTGGCAGAAGTATGAGACAGCGCGAAAACTGGCGCAATCGATTGACAAAATCCGCGCCGAATATCGAGAGGATTGGAAAAGTAAAGAAATGCGCATTAGGCAACGAGCCGTTGCTCTTTACTTCATCGACAAACTAGCGCTTAGGGCTGGCAACGAGAAGGATGAGGATCAGGCAGATACCGTGGGTTGCTGTTCGTTGCGAGTGGAGCATATCAAGCTGCATGAACAAAAGGATGGCAAGGAATATGTCGTTGTATTTGATTTCTTAGGTAATAATCAGCTTTTTATTACACATAACAGAAACTTGTATTTAAAATGCATATTTTTATCTCTTAACATTACAACATGATTGTAACAATAACGAAATTGATTACTCTCACAGGTAAAGATTCCATACGGTATTATAACGAGGTACCAGTGGAAAAGCGCGTATTTAAAAACCTGCAGCTCTTTATGGAGAATAAATCACCCGGAGATGATCTGTTCGACCGTCTCAATACTACCGTGATGAACAAACATCTGAATGAATTAATGGAAGGTCTCACCGCTAAAGTATTCAGAACTTATAACGCGTCGTGGACGTTGCAACAGCAGCTCGACAAATTGACAGATCCAAACGACGTGGAGGCAGAAAAGATTCTTTCCTATAATCGAGCCAATCGCGCCGTTGCCATACTGTGTAACCATCAGCGTTCTGTGCCAAAGACGCACGCGAAATCCATGGAGAACTTGAAGGCAAAGATTGATGCGAAGAAAGAGGCGATAGCCGAGTGCGAGTTGCAAGTGAAAGATGCCAAACGTGATGCGAAACACGGTTCGGTGAAAGAAAAAGTGTATGTTTTTGTTATACTTTATATAACAATTATACGAAATAATAAATTTAAATTAAATTAATTAAATTCAAATTTAGCGAAATAATAATTAAATTTAAATTTAAATTAAATTTAAATTATTAAATAATAACTTATATGCGATTTATTATATAATTTATTATATTTATTATATTTATATTATACTTATATTATTTACTTATTGTTTTATTATTAATGAAAATTTAATCATCGTAATTTCATATATACAAAACTTTTAATTAATTCAATTTATAAATAATTAAATCTATTAAATCTATTTTATAACTGATTTATTTGTGATGTTTTTATAGAACATATGAAAAGAAGAAGAAACAGCTGGAAAGGTTGAAGGAACAATTGACGAAGCTAGAGGTCCAAGCGACTGATCGAGAGGAGAATAAAGAGATCGCGCTGGGTACCTCCAAACTGAATTATCTCGATCCTAGAATTTCTGTTGCATGGTAAGTGTATTTTCTATTTTTTTGTCAAATTTCTTTATTTTTATAATTTTAATTTATTATTTATAATATTAATTTATTATATATTACTTGATATTCTTTATCTCTACACTTCTTTTTATTTTACGTTTTGAATCTTTTTGTATCTTATATATTGCTAATAGTGATACTGTATGTTATTTTAAATATTTTACTTAATGTTAGTATTTGCATATTATTTTCTATATATTTACATCGTATTTCTACGCTTCTTTAGGTGTAAAAAGCACAATGTCCCGATCGAGAAGATTTATAACAAGACTCAAAGGGATAAATTCCGATGGGCAATAGACATGGCGGGCCCTGACTATGTGTTTTAACCCTGTGGTTTATCATCATCGTCATCGTAATTAATGCCATTGCATGTCGGTTTATGAGGAAAGTACACCTCCTGCTGACGATGTATTTAGTGAATTTTACGTTCTAACGAGAAGCCAGGAGACTTAAAAGTAAGACAGAAAGAAAGAAAGATAAAAAGAACAAAAGATGAACAGTGTAACGATACAGAAAAATTTTTTTACACTTACATGGTATAAATGTGAGAAAGTGTGGGAACATATTTTCTATAGGATGATATACGTCACATACGTATTGAATCACGTTGCGATTAGTATATCTAAAGTGATGTGATTAAACGCGTTAGGTTCGAAGAGAGAATTAGTCTAGAATTGATTGTGTGTGCGCGCACGCGCGCTTTGACAATTTTGCCATTGGCAAAATGCTTTCTACTCACGTCGCTAGCTTGTTCGTCCTCACGTGCAAAAAAATCATGTACATGAGCAAGACACTTGGACATAATAAATCCTTAAGAATATTAATCGAGAGGAGTCGTAAAATTGCGGACGATTTTCGAGCGAAAGCGGAAAGAGCGTGATTTTATTTCGTTTAGGTAGAAATTTATTCTGAGAAGTATGGAAAGTAGCACCAAATTGTGCAGAGAGAAAGAAAAAGAAGAAAGATCGTTAAATTTATAAATTGCATGGGCGCAACGATTGATTCTGTGAGGAGCACAGAGATTTCGCGCCGATCTCGCGAAAGCTACAACTGCGTTATTGTACATATATATAGGACACATTCATGTGAGTGAGACGCAAATACACAATTTATGCTATGTCGATATTTAAAAAAAAAAAGAAAAAGGGGAAAAGAAGAAAAAGAAACAAACTTTTTAAATAGGCAGCTGATAAATTTTGTATTTCCCTTAATGAGTATACACATGTAAACACAACTTGTTTCTCTCTCATAAATGTATGATAATGTCATTCATCAACCACATTTACATTTTACAGCATCGTGTTGAGGACATTATATGTATTCGTAGAACGTATTCAATATTGCGCACTCCTTTTTTGATATATAAATGATGAGGCAGACAATTAGCGAATTTTCACCGGATCGCGATTCGCCCA